TTTAATTCTACAGAACAGTGGCCTCGAATCAACCGTGAAGACAAATAGGCAAAGATCATCCCTTTACAGCCGCTACACAACCTATATAAGTACGAGCCTTATCAACCTCGCGTGCTAGGCTCCTGACCCAACTCTGTAAGTTGACCAAGCCTCAGCCAGTTGCCAAACATGGTGCTGCCACAGCTGCACAAGGTTTATGTGGATTTCGGGTGTTTCAGGTGTTTGGGCTCGGGTTTGGGGTGGGTTGCGGGTTTAGGATCATGTGGAGCGGGTTTGAAGTTCAGGACGCGGTCTTACAATGGCCAAAAAATGCTGGCAAGGGTTATATAAGTAAGGTTTCGCAAGTGCCGTAGAAAAGGGCTTCAAGGGCTTTACAAGTGTGTTGTACGGGTTGGAGTATCAAAGAACCGCAGCAGTCTCAGAGTGAACAGTCCGGAAAATCCCCGCCTCACAGTTGCAATCAAGACCATCTGAATCAAGACTTAACCGCACAAACCTTGAACCCGGGGAACCCTTGACGCCACAGACCCGACACATAATGGGTCCTCAACCCTGGACAATTTAGTCCCAGAGACGCCAAAACTACCTCAACCCACCCTCTGGATTCAGAACACTCCTCCTCAAATACTGTCTAGGGCACCTAAGCCTATAGAGCCCCAACACCCAAAGCCCTAAACCCCAAAGCCCCAACATTTTGAAGAGCTCGTCCAAAACTCAACATAAAGCCCTGAACCCACAAGCGAGCCGGGAAGACTGTCTGATCGCTCGGCTTCCGTTGCAGCTCTGCCTCGGAAACTGGACGGAGGACACTTCCGCCGTGCGTGGTGCACACCAAAATCCACTCAAGAAGAGCTTTAGTATTGCGAGCTTACTGAGTATAGATCGGGTTTAGGGATACAGGAGTTATACGTTCTAACTCGAAGTATATAGGGACCAGACACGAAGACGATACCACGCCCACGACAGAACACTACCGAACAAAACAACATCTGCGCACTAGAAGGAGTCTGGTGATCTAAGATGCAAAGAGCGCGTGCGAGTCAAGGCCTCGTTGCCCAGTTCCGCAGCCCTCCACCAAACAAAACCCGGTGTTACGTGTATATACATATATGTATATATATATATATATATATCTATATACATGTATACATACACATAAGAACAAACTAGTATAGAAACAGGATCCCAAAAGTTAACCCATACAGGTGCATCCAGATATGCATAAAGTGTATATACACATATACACAATATACCTTTCTATACATATATATATGTATCACGTATGTGTGTGCGTGCACGTATCATACCGTAAGATGTTAAAGGGTATACATTCTCCGATGCGGAGGGTTCTGGTGTCTTGAACCCCGGGACTCACGATCGGGCTCAGAATGACCTAACCATGGCATGACAGTTGCATTCTGGCTGCATGATGGCACTACCTCGGATCTTAATATGCACAATACTGGGTCATGTTGTTGTCCCAGAACTGTAGGGTGAAACTATGAGCGAATGCCCGCGTATACTTGTGAATCCTAGCTGGCTCTCGGACCATCTAGCCAAATCCGTGGAGTGCTGAAGTGTTTCCGGGCTCTCCAGCACTAATCCTGAAGGTCCGCCTTCGTAACCCCATATAAGGGTGCGCAGAGGGTCCTTATCAGCCTCCCACAAGGGCTTGTGTGTATGTGTGTTCGACAGGTCGTGCTAAAAGGGGTTCTATAGGGTTCTTATGAACGTTCTAGAAGGGGCTTCATGGTGTCAAATGCAGGACTTCAGGTGAAGGAACCCGATAATGCGGAACCGTGGGGTTTAATATAGGGACCTGAAATAGGTAGAGTAAAATTTGTGCGGTAGCGTCGTACATAAAAGCATATGAGGACTCCAAGGGAATATGGCTTTATATCATACTATCAAGACCTATATTATATGGCAGCGCGGCTTAAGCGTCTTACCATGAGGCTGCAGCTTACCCCCGCGAGCCGTTAACTCCGCCGCCTCCTTCATCAAAGCACCAAAGCCAAACACCAATCGGAACCTTTGTGTGTGCACTCCAAAACAACCCAAGCCCCGAACCGTAACAACAGGCTCGAGAACATCCATACCCCAGAAACCTCCTAACCCGGCATCCCGCCCATGGGAACACCTCAACCCAAAACAAACCCTGTAACTCTTAAGCTCATGCCCGAAAACCTTGTGACGCTAACCCCCAGTAGCGTAACCACCCAAAGAACTCGAAACACCCCTGACTCCTATACACATTTAAGCATAAAAGACCCTAAAGCCCAATGTCCATAAAACTACATGTCCCCTAAAGCCGTTTGAGAAACCCTTATGCTGCCTGCCATCGACTAATCTTCACAACCCTTTCAACGCCCTCGAACCAAGACTTCAACCGTTCGTAAAACCCTGCCGCTGGACCCTTTCAAAAGCCGGCAAAACACTGAACTGGGCTTCCCCGGCGCAGCTGCTGTAGCATCCGGCGAGCCGGCCCCAACACGAGGGCATCGAAGCGGTCCTCCAAGGAATGGGATGCCTACAGTAAATCCGACACCCCAAATCCAACAGTGCCGAGGGTTTTTTGTAAGTGGCTTCTGGGTTTCGAGGTCTGTTAGGGATTTTGATTGCGCGAGGGCCAGCGCAGGGTCGCAGCACTTAGTGCTCCAAAGCCTAAAGCCCAAAGACCCAAGTCCTGCTATCTACAACCCACCTGGACCCAACCTACACTCTATTGCAGCCTCAACGTTTTAAGCCGCTTAGTGAAGGCTCATGGGTACGAAAACTATATTTGCGTACACCACAAATACGCAACACATAAACCCAACACCCGACCAAAATACGCACATGGTTGGTGAGTCGGCACGTGAAGACATAATTAATGTGCTTCGCCAGGTCGCAATACATGGAAGGGGCGCCAGCAAACCGGAATGAAATGTGGAGACATCAGCAGTCTGCCATGCTGGTGATAACCATATCGCTTGATGCTGTTCCGATCCGGTCAAAGTACCTGTAGCCTGCAGCCACCCAAACCCACCAAAACCCTACTAAGTTACCATCGCAGACTTCAAGTCGCGTTGCAATCCCGTAGCTCCTGGATTCACAGGGGAGGGGGCCAGGGCCTTCCTTGCTAGACTAGGGTTTTTGGGATATGGTTAGAACGAGGAACCCTAAAACATAATATTCGTACCTACAGCTTCTTTATTTTGTGTTGTGGCCGCTATTTTGCACCGGGCTGGAGCATCGTGCCATCGGCACTCCGGGTTTTCCAGGATTCTCGGGCTCTTGCCCAGATGGAAGCAAGCGTAGTCCGCCAAAGCGCCATGAGGCGACGTCGAGCAACGAAGCAAAGTATCGGGCCAGTAACGGTTCGTTTGTCCGATATGTATCTACATATGTATACATATATATATATATATATATATTTATATGCATGCATGTACAGTATATGCGGGAGAGAGAGAGAGAGAGAGAGAGAGAGAAAGAAATAAAGAAAGACAGAACGAAAGAAAGACAGAAAGAGAGCACGAAAGAACAACTGAAAGAGAGCAAGAGAGAGAGAGAGAGAGAGACAGAGAGAGTTCTGGCTGAAGTACAGTGCAGGCGTGTGAGTGTGTGTAGCAGAATGTGTGCCCAACACTCAAGAATGTGATTGGCAGCCCGTTTGGTCACTGTAGGGACTGCCGAGATATGTCTTGCATTAAAACAGCTCGACAAAATGGGAGAACCTTGATTTATCCTAGTCCTAGAATCTCATGTCAGTTGAGAAACTCAAGCGCCACCTAAACCCCATACATGGTTATTTCCTCGAAGCTTAACCTCGCAACCCGAACTTCCCCCCGGTTCCCTAAGCCCTTATTAATTTTGTGTTTGCATCTGGGCTCCTTGAATACTCCGACATCCAAACCCAAAACCAAGAGTTCCTAAGCGCTAAGGCACTTCACGTCGTCTGAACACAGCAGCCAGCCCTTCTCCTACCCGCGGTGCATTCAGCTAACGCTTGCTCCCACCTAAGAGTCGTGCTTGCCGCAGGCGTGCAGCTCAGGATAAGAAGGTACGGCTTGGATGACACTGGCACAAACGCATGTCCTCGGCAGGTACTTTGAAGTCATATCCCCGTTCTTACCATAGATCATGAATCAGGCCAAAAAGACGCCAACCCACAACCCTGGGCCCTGAACTTCCTAAATCATGAAGACTCAAACGTACACCCTTGCGTCGAGCACACGGGGATCTTCGATCTACGTGTCGGAACTCCACCACCACAGTCGCTCGCTCATTGACGTGCTTTATAGGCACTGTTACCCTGATCTCCTCACACATCCTAGATTGAACATATGAGTTTGGGGCTACATGGCTTGGGTTAATCAGAAGTCAAGGCTATATATACAAGGCTTAGGGAATCTTAGGGGCCAATAACTTCTGAGAGTAAAACACCACACATCACGGCCGAAGCTGAGCAAATCAGAAACGGACTCGAGATCTTAGTTGCGCTGCTTTACAACGGATTTAAGAAATCTTTCAGGGTGTTCGTGCGGCTCTGTAGACAACTTTACAAGGAGTTCCGTGAGATGGCTGTGTTCTTGCTAATATCGAGCGTCCGCCGGTCCCTTAGGAAAACTGGGGTGAAACGTAAACGACACCAAAGCAACTTCGAGGTTTGGAGCCTCAGGGCCTGTAGCGTTGGGGGCTCAGCGGGTCCGAAGTTTGGGGTTTAAGTGTCCTAAACCCTAAACCCCTAAACCCTAAACCCCGTTTCTTGCCTCAAAGCTGTTCAGAAGAAGGCTGACATGACCGAACCCTCTCTACATGTAGACAGAGCGTAGGGATGTTTAGGGCCCTTGGGGTGGTAGTAGTATCTTTATCCCAATGGCTCAGAGTTCTAGTTTGCCTGCTCAACTACTAGACTTACTAGACGGTTTAAGGGGGCTCAACCGCATGTCTTTCGCCACTATCCCTGCGACGTGCAGGAAGGATACGATGTAGGATGTCTGGCATCATTGCTTGGCTCAGGCATTCTCCTTCTCCTTGGTCTCCTTCTTGATGTTCATGCCTTCCATGTGCCGTTCCAACTTTAAGGAACCGAAGCCGTTAAGCACATACCGCAGGAGCCGACAACACCAAAGAACTCAAAGGCAGTAGACAGATTGTGGCAGTCGAGGCATACGTAAGTCTTTGCGGGCACCAAAAAGGCAGGCTGTCGCCGATGTCCAGCGTTGAAACCAGGTGTTTGACTCAGTTCTTGAAGCAGCCGCCTTGATTTCTGACAGAAACCGAGTCTTCAACAACAACATTTCAAAATAACCCCCTCCAAAACACGCCTTTGTAGGGATCGAAGTCCGGATTGAAGTAGTCCTTCACAGAGGAAGCTCGGGGAGGAGATTCGACTCTTGAGCTTCTGACGTGGACGACCGTACCCCGCTTAGGGTTTATAGGGTTTAGGGGCTTTGGGTTTACAGCGAACTCCATAAAGTTGGAAACCGGATTAAGGCCAAATAGTGCTGGGTTTCCCTATACATTACTCTTCAAGATTGAGGCTATTGGGTTTCCAACTTTTTAGCTTCTACTGTAGGGTTTAGGGGACACCTCCAATCTTGCTTTCACTATGAACGGAGCTCCTTCTCAACTGCCTGAAGCTGTACGAAGGCTATGGAGCTTAGCGAAGCTCATGCTACGCTGAATGGGGCTGAATACACCACTACATGATTCCTGCTCGTAGAACAGAATGGGCCCTGCTTCGTGCAGCCCTAAGCCCTCAACCGTAAAATCCCAAACGGGTAAGCCCCATGTACCACATCAGCCAGAATGAAGGCAAGGTTCATCGGCATCCGTCTTCACGTTGCTGGGGACCAGTCCCCCACCCAACTCGTCTTTCCATGACTCGTAGCACTGGGCGGAAAGGGTTTCACAGAGGTGTCAAAATGGTCTACGGCTTGTATTTTGCTAGGTGTCAGTAGGGTCTTACCAATCTTCCTCTGCCTCAACGATACTAGGATCCAAACTCGAAAGTTCAGCGCGTTCTTGTTCCACCACCGCTGTGACTTCAGTTCTCTCAACCGTATAAGGGTGGTTCTTGGAGCTCGGGTCTTGACATTTTTGGGTGCAACTGAGAGTTCGGTTAGTGGCTTTGAAAATTTTAGTGTTGTTGAAGGGCTAGGTCTCAAGTCCCAAGGTTCAAAGTTGCAGATGGTTTTGCTGATGAAGGTTTGACGGCACCGCATTCAGGGTTCGTGCGTGGCGATAAGTTTATCCTGTATTCGGGAAGCTGAGTGGCCTCTTCCCTGCCCCAGGATGGACAAGGGTTTGGGGTTCAGGGTTTTAGGGCCCTAAACCGTCAACGCCTAAACCCTAAAACCATTTTAGGGCTCGAACCGAGGCAGGGTTGGCCCCAACCAAAGCTCAGAGGACGTTTCAGTCCAAAGACCATGTACAAGTACGAGTACCACACAAAAATAGTTGTTGGAGCGCAGACCACGAATACGCGAAACTCCGGCAGCTAAAGCAGCTCAAGAACAACAACCGAGTAGCCACGAGCACGATGAAGGCAATGCCGAAAAAGCCAATGGCATTCCAGGAGTAATCGTCTCCGCGGTATTCACCTGGGATATCGGACTCAGGGTTCTGCCTGGGACATCGCCCAGGATACCCAAAACCCTAAACCCTGAACCCTAAACCCTTTTTTAAGCACGGACTTGCCCTAAACCCTAAACGCTATAAACCCCAAACCCTAGGATATCAGTCTCAGGGTTCTGGAAAGCAAGACTGCTCCTTTCCGAGCTCGGTCTCCCCCTACAGAGCTGTGGTACCAACTCCGCCGTCCTACAGAAGCCTTGAAAAAAACCGAAGCTCTAAAGTTAAGGGCTTCGGCTTTTTGTAGGTAAACCACAAAAAATTGAAATTTCTGCTCACACTTTCAAAAACCCGAGTACCGACGTCCGAAAGTTTTGAGAAACCGACGAAAGCTCTGAAATGACATCGAAGAGACTCAGCGCTCCCAGGAGCTTTGAAACAGTTGCGATTTGGGGTTTTGTGGTTTAGGGATTTAGGAGTTTTGGGTTTCGGGAATAGAGTTTAGGGGTTTGGGGGGTTTAGGGCTCACGGTCAAACCCGAAGCTCTGAACGGTCCCAGGGTGGTTCCAATATCGGAGCCTTAATGGTTCGAATTGGGTTTAGGTGTACACAGTATTACTCAGTGTCCAAGCTTGCATACGTGGTAATGGTCCCCCTCTTGTATTTGAGTCCTGACCTATAAAAACTATGAAATACCACCAAAATCCTATTCTAACTACTCCGCCCCCCTACCCGGACTAAGCAAGCTGGTCATCGTTGTAATATCGTCCCTAAAAAATATCAACATATCCCAAAAGCCTATTCCCCCCACCATCCACCTTAGGCAGGCTCCATCTTGAGTTTGGGACAGGGGGGCCTCCGTGGGCCAAAAGAAACTAGACCTTGGGATTCCCAATGAAGTTCGGGGCTTCGGGGGGGTTACCTGAACCCTTTGACCAATCGACCGCTTCAGGGTCTACCGTCCTGTAGGCTCCTTGTTGTTGTGAGTTGCTTCCAGGAGCCCTGCAGACATCTACCGTGCTTAAAAACTCCTTGTTATGCTTTGCTTGTAAGACTCCTGTGCCAAGGCAGGATGCTTCTGCTCGCACCCCAGGGCTGGCGAGCTGTTGAAGTTCAGCCAAGGTACAAGGTGAGGTCTGAGGCTTAAGCTTTGGGCCTACCAGAAGGGCGAAAATTCAGGCACACACCCCGAAAGCAGCTAGCAAAACCTCTCAGAGGAAATATGCAAGCTTGACAACCGAACCTCCAACCCGGTCCAACCCGTAACCCCAGAAAGACAAATCAAGAGACAGTAAAGAACGCTGCCTTGGAAAACCTGCGAACATGCAAACTCCGACAACCTTGTGGACCATAAACTATAACTATCAACCCAGAAGTTACATCCAAAGCCTAAAGCCCCAAACCTCATACCGTAAACCGAGCCAAACCCACCAACCAACAAACAAACCAAAGCCAACAAACCAAACCACAAAAAAAAAATAACCAACCAAACACCTGAACAAAACACACAAACAAACCAACAAACAAACAAACAAATCAAAACAAACAAACCGAAACCAACAAACAACCAAACAAATAAACAGCACACACAAACAAACCAACAACAAACTAGCATAGGGTTTAGGGTTTAGGGTTTTTCTTCCCTCCTACCTAGCAAGGACGAAGCCCGCATTGCAGGGTGTCTCGGTTGAACAGTTGACTACAGCCACTTGTATGCGGTTCAAACTGTGGCTAATTGGCAGTCCGTGCTCATGGACCAGAAAGCCTCACGCTACCCCGTCTCTAAGCACAGCACATCTGCTGTATCAGATGTTCAAGAAGAGTCACGTAGTCACCACACACCTTCGTGTAGCAACAGCAGCTCCATCATCAAGTACCTGCATGGAATTATAGTTCTTGTGTCTCAGACAATATTTGTCCGATTGCCCAGTCCCTCTCACAGGGTTCAGCGACGTCATCCAGCAATACGATTACGCAGGCAGTAAGAACATCACCAAAGAAAAGGCAAACGCAAAAGCAACTCCAGCCGTCTGTGACGTTGAAAGTTCCAGCCACTTGCATCAGCAAAATGCCGTTCATGGTTGAATTACTTGCAGGCACCAAATTTTCCTCATTCACAAATGGATCTTTGTCTGAGCTGCAATGGGATTCGAAAGACAAACAAATGCCTTCCAGCGCGAACTTTCTAGCTGAGCGCTTTCGGATTTTGTACCCCAGAGTGATGTGTTCCACAAAAAGATGTCCGCATCGTCAATTTTGGCAGACCCTGACATTGCTTCAGACGCTGCGACTGTCAAAAGCAAAAGCATGGCGATCACCAAATCGCAAGCGTCGCTTGGAATAGAGCCTGAATACAGCGCTCTCCTGAAGACTGCCACTGCTTCTTCTGCATCCTTTGAAGCAACCTTTTGCTCCACATGAAGCAAGAGGTCTGACACTGTCCAACTGTCAGCAAAGTTGCCTGTGCGCATCTTGGCATAAATCTCCTTGTACACTTGCTGATCATAAATCAACGATGGGACATAGGGTAGCTTTCCTAAAACCCTTTTGCTGGTTGGCGACTCTAAGAGCAGCATCCCATCAAACCCATCCTTGGCTGCGTCAATCGAAAGCAGTGATGAAGCCGAGCACACCTTGTCCACCCTCTTCAACGCCCAGTCTGTCCTGACTGAGAAGATCCACCTTTGCGAATGCCTGATGAACATGCATTGGTCTGCAATGATGCGCTGCAAGTCCGTCACAGCTCAGGTTAGAGAGAACTGAAGGGGCGATCCGATTTGTCGCATTGCCACTGCCGGGTTAACCATTGTAGACCGAGTGATGTTGAGGTGAACCGACTCACCTGAAGCGGATTGGTAAGTTGACGTAGCAAGAGTCTTCAAAGCAGGAAATTCCTCAGATTGAAGGGCACGGCACTCGTCTTTGGTCTTCAACTGGGAAAACCAGTTCCATTTGCTGAAGCCAAACGGCTGAATGCCCGATTGGCGAGCTGTTGTCAAGAGCCTCGACTGTTGCAAGCTTGTCCTGCTTGTTGTTTTCCCCACGCTTGCAAACCGTATTGTGTCTTTCTGAGAAGGGAGTGTATCAATCCCGTGCAATGAACATGCAGACGTGAATGAGGTACCTCGGTACTCAAAGCCCGACGCTTCGACATTGAAGTCGCCGTGCACAAGGCGGTGCCCAGCAATATTGCCAAACAGCTCAAAGCTGATCGGCACAAGAGCATCGCACCTTATCCTTGCAGAACTCCCATCATGAGTCGTTCTCTTCTTTGCAGGCACTTCAAAACAGCGGCTATCCACGCCAAGGGCTTGCAGTTCCTCATGGGTAGTGCTTTTGGCTACACACATGCTGGGCCCCGGATGTGCCAAGTTTTCTATCTGTGCCAAACCAAAGCAAGCTAAGGTAATCCTGCGCGCAGCCAACAGCTTCCAACACGCGCTTTTGAGTTTCGTGATCCTTGAGGTAGGACCTTGTAACTTCGTAAAATTCACTGACGAGGCCTTTGTACTTCAAAGGTGTTGACACCGGGTCCTTGGTGAGCTGCAAAAATGCCCCATCTGACTCAACTGACAGGTCTTTGCGCAGCTGCTGGTACTTCTCCTTATCCAAAATATCTCGAAGGAGCCGGAGATTCGTGAATTTACCATCAATTTCCGCATCGATAGCCATGCTCTGCTCGATCAAGTCAGACAAATGGCCAAGATCTAGGAAGTTTAGGGTTTCGGCGCAAAGTTTAGGGTTTAGGGTCACTAACACAAAACACAAAAGACAACCCGAGGCAAAGGAGTGGCCCAGGTCGATCTTCGGTCGCTCACCGAAGGTCTCCTCCGTGGCGTCCTTCAGCGCCTGGGTCTCGGAAGTTAGGGGATTTGGGGTTTAGGGTTTTTGCTTTAGGGTTTAGGGTTTTTCCTTTAGGGTTTAGGGTTTAGGATTTTCGGTGGTTTACTAAGGATTTGGGGCTTTAGGGTTTTGGGATTTTGTGCGAGGTTTTGGAGTCTACAGGGTTTAGGGTCTTTGGGGTTTGCGATTTTGGTTGAGGTTAGGGATTTCGGCTTTACGGTTTGGGGGATTTGCTTAGAAGGATTCTGTGCCAGGGCCTTAAGCGGAACTGCCGCCGGTTTACCGAAGCAGCCCGGCATCGGGCGTTGCCGCCTACATAGCGACTTCCAGTACCAAGGTACCTTATTTGGGGGTCCTTATAATATGGATCCTACTATTTGGGGTACCATATTAGGGTCCCTATTTTGGGAAACTTCCACATGCTCCTTTGCTAAGGCTACTAGCGATCCTGGCGGGGCTCGGGGCTCAGAATTTGGCTTCTTTCAGTTAACTCTACACTGTCTACACTGTGTACCTTCCCGACACTAACTACCTTTATCAGAATATTACCCAAACCATAAGCAGCCGAAAGGATGGTAAGCATGGTATGGGAGTTCGGGCTTCGGGTCGTAGCAGCACTCCTAGGTCCTAGGTCATCCCGGAGTTAGGATGTGCAAGGGTCTGGATTACTGCATACTTGGGCCCTTGGCATCGGCAAAGCAGCAGCTTGCCAGAAGCACAAAGCTGCACATACACACACACAAAATCCTAACAGCCGGAAACGCCAAGAAGACAAAGGCCGACATGGAAGTGCAATTGTCTCACCTTTGGTTAGTAGGGAATGGAAGAATGGTAATAATTGTACCCCATTCCTCCATTCCCTACTAACCAGAGGTAAGTTGTGGGACTAGGTGAACTGACGACCCCTAAGCACTGAAAGAACCTCTCCACAGCTCGGACAGGAACCCAGTAGAACCCACAGGGGTGGTTGTCAATATATAGCGTCCCTTTTTTGGAGTCCTTATTATAATACGGCGCCTAATATTTAAGGTACCCAAAAAAGGGACCATAATTTTCACAACCACCCATAAAAACAGGCCCTAAAGCTCAAAACAGGTCGACTGTGTCAGCTCAGGGGCCCGTGTCGCCGCGTCCATCTCCTGGTCGTGCTGGCTTGAATCAGGGTTTTAGGGGTGTGGGGGTTAGGGTTTAAGGTTTGGGGTTTAGGGGTTTAGGGTTTGGTCAAGGGTGAGGACGCGGGATTGATGCAGGGCTTGTAGGGGTTGGAGGTTGAGTTCTCGGCTTTGGGGTTGAAGGTTGGACCGTAAAGGCTTCCTTTTTAACTCCGCCACATAATAAAAAAGTACTGCGCCCGTACAGTAGACAGCACCCTGAAAGGGACCCTAGTTTAGAGAGAGAGAGAGAGAGAGATACATATATATATATATATATATATATATATATGTACACGTCAGAATGCTGAAGCATGAAAACTCGGCCCCAACCCACTCCTCGCTGGCATTGCGCAAAACACCCCACCGCGAATCTTTGATGTCAAGAACCTTCCTCTGAACCGGGTTCATGCATGTAGGTTAGACCAAACTGTCTGTGAGCCCCCGAAACCTCCAAGAATCCTGCGATGAGGCCTCAACGACTCAATGGTACAAACAGACAGGACATCATCTGGTATACGACACTGCAACTCTAAAGAACGATGTCCATAATGGAAAACTGTGACTACATACCTCTACCTTCTACCCCTATACATAGAAGAAGGCCCCGTGCAAGAAATTCACGGAGCGCCATGGCTCTGACATCCCATAAACCGTGCAATGACTTCCCAGGTACGAGGCCTTCAAACTTACCGGGCGCTGGAGGCACTGCACCCGACGAGCCTCTAACTCCAAATACCCTAAACAACAACAACACATGGGATCTCTGAAATGTTGTGACTCTGTAGGGGCGTCTTCTGCGTCAAGATCCACTTCGATAGTTCGCATCTCTTGTACACCACGAGGGCTTCAACCCTCAAACCCAAAACCCTGAACCCCAACACTTGGAATCCTAAACCCTCAAACGCAGAGGCCTCCTCGGCCCAGGCCATAGTGGGGAACATCAAAGCACCCTTGGCTTCAGAAACTCACTTACGAGTTGTCAGTTCTAACTTAATCTTAAAGTGCAGGATTTACAAGTTTCAATTCTTTTGCGAGCACCCCAAAGGACCTACATGTGTAGTGCTCCTTCTTATCATGTCGTTAAATAGCCAATATGCAAGAAATCCAAACGGCAAAACTGCCGGTGAAAACTCCGACACCTAATTCCTCAACCCCGAAGCCAAGCATTACGAACCTGCAGGAGCCCGAGACCATTAAACCCTGTCAGCACCCCATGAAACATTTGTCGAAACCTTACGGCGTCTGTTTTTAAATACACGGCTATATAAATAGGTTAAACAGGTATATTACACTACCTCCGTGAAACATCGCCCGGGCCCGCCTCGAAATAAAATATCCGGAAATTGGCAGATCATTGGTGGGTTTGGGGTTTAGGGTTCAGGTAGAAGCCAAACCTTTCAGCTTTAGGTTCAAACCAAACCGAGCCAGCCCTCCAGCCTTCCTAAAGCCTTCCAGCCTTCCTCCAGCCCCAAGCCCCAGCCCTCCAGCTTTGCCGTCCAGCCCCAGCCCTCCAGCCCTCCAGCCTTCCAACCTAAAGCTGGAGGGGGCTTGGGGCTGGAGGAAGGCTGGAGGGCTGGGTCTGGAAAACTGGCCTCCAGCCTTCCAACCTTCCGGAGGCTGGAACTGGAGGAAGGCTGGAAGGCTGGAAGGTTGAGGGTGGAAGGCTGGAATGCCTAAACCGCTCCAACCTTCAGCGCCTTCCAGCCTTCAACCCTTTCGTGGGTTTGGGGTTTAGGGTTTAAGCGTTTCAGGGTTTAGGGTGGAAGCCAAACCTTCCCGCCTTCCAGCCAGCACTCCAGCCCTCCAGCCTTCAACCCCTCCAGCCCTTGCAGTCTCCAGCCTTCCAGCCTTCAACCCCTCAAGCCTTCCAGCCTTCAACCCCTTCCAGCCTTTAACCCTCCAGCATTCCAGCCTTCACCTTTTTAAGACTGAAGGCTAGATCACGTCATACTGGGATTTAAATATACGTATTTAAACAAATAATTGAAAACTACCTCTGCGGCCAGTGCGGCTGGCCGGGCCCCCACATGTGATCCCGGTTCTCGGTTCACCGACCCACCCCCCAATGGCATCATCCCCCCCCCACGCTCCCCAAGCCGAATCTGTATGTGACTGTGCAAGCTTTTTCCACACGAGGGCTCACACGCCAAGCAGACCCACGCTGGAAACCCAAACCACACCACACCACAGGGGGGAGTGGGATAACCAGCCTAAGCAGACCCACTCCCGAACCACACCACACCACACCACAGAAAGGGGGAAGCAACCCACAACCACACCACACCAAAGGGGGTGGAGGATGAACCATTGGGGGGGGGAGGGGGGTGGGGGCCGGCCGGGATCATGTATTTAAAAAACGTCACCGTGCGAAAACCCACAAAGTTGGTCAGAATTTCATAAACCGCTAGAACAATTAATTAAATGCCACCATACAACCCCCACCTGTACAGCCCCTAACACACACACAGCGAAAAACCCTCTAAACATCAGAAACCATAAATACTACAAACTCCTGTACAGTCCCTACACACTGTGGATAGAAAACACTTCACAACCTTTCAGAAAAAGGACCGAAAAACTCACCGAACTACTCTAAACCCTAAACCCTCCGCCGAGGCTCCGTAGCCAGCGCCGCAGGCGCTGCGGCGCGAGGCCGCGGAGCGGCGACGAAGGCTCGGAAGGAGAGGCCGGCACAGGCCCTGGAAAAAAGCTGGGGTTTGGCTCTTGTTTTTGTTTTTTTTGTTTTGAGCAGCTCCTTTTTATGGCTGCTTCTTTAAGCGTTTGGGTTTGGGGCTTGGGGCATAGTAGGGTAGGGTCTGTACTGGGTTAGGATTTGGGGATTACTTTGAGGTTTTGGTGTTGTGTTTTCGGGTTTGGGATTTACGCTCTCGCAACTCGGACATGCCAGACGAGGTCTCTGGTTCGGGTGCACAACAACAAAGGGTTTGCGATTTAGGGTCGGGGGTTTTATCGGCGAAGGGGCTGTGCTGTCATAACGAGATAGATACGAATAGAAACATAGAAGTAAAAACAAACACAGCAGTAACGATAACGATAACAACAAACGAAAACTAGGATACGGGTGTACGTATTTCTATATTCTATATATGTGTATATCTCAAACGTTTTTTGTTGTATGGGTAGAGCAGGAGGTTCGGGGGCTTAAGCAAGGGTGTCAAGAAGGCTTCCCTATGGGCCTTAGTCTTGACCCCAACATCTAAAGTCTAAACCCGCAGGCTTCTCATCTCAAATGTCCGAGTCGCAAAACCAGCAGAGCGAGAATTGGTCCTTAGCTTGGATCGCTAATCTCTGAAGCATGTCTTCTTTCCTACGGGGCTTTGTGTGTGTGTTGAAGTCTACGGGGTTCTATGCGGCTTGATAGGGCAGAATCTAGGGGTTCTAATCTTGTGGGTTCTATAATGAACTATCATGGGTTCGGTGTGAATGCTAGCTTCCAGTTTGGACTCAGCTTGGACACTACAAAATCCCCAAACATCCTACTCGAGTGTGCTGAAAGACACGCGTCCACTGCCAATCCTCTGCTTAGGGGAAGCATGGTGCAGCTCGCAAGGCACCTCGCAAGCAACTCAAATTGCTTGCACGTCGGCCCCGCAAGACTTCTGTCCACTATCTCTAGTCCAGGGCCGGCGGTCTCTTTCGAAAGATACTGAGACTTTGAGTCATGGAGGGTTCGAGATCCTTCAGACGGATATTCGGGAGCAGCAGGGCTGAACAACTTTCTTGGCCAGCTTGGGCTACAACCCACCAGCCTACCCAAAGTATCCAGCCCAAAGCCCTGCTTATTTCAATTTGCTTCGTTGCAACTTCACATGGAGTATAGTTGGTTGATAGCCTTCCAGCATATTCCTGATGGATTCCACCTGGCTGCATCCTATACACTAAGCCGTCACCTACTTCAGATGAATCTCACGCAGACCGAGGCCAGTCAGCTAAACGAATGCAACAAAGCCTCGACGCGCGACCATGGTCGCAAAAGAGGCTTAAAATCGCTGTTGCGCTTAAGACAAAACGGCACTGCAGAAGGCAACATCTCCGTGTTCAGGGTGGGCACCAATGGACCCCTGTATTTACTGCGATTAAACTTCACCTAAGGCCCTGCACTCCTCGACTCAGAAATCATACCCTCTAACGATACTGCAGACCAGCTTTCCATGTTTGCACATGTACTACCATTAAGAATTTAGGCACCGAGATCCCGAAAACCATCATAGGCATCATCTTAAAGGACCGTAGTACATGGACCGCTTGCGGTCTTCTTCTGCAGTATTGCTTTTGGGGCCCCCAACCAACCAACAGCTGCAGGCCCGGTACCCCAAACACGCTAAGCCCTGATCCGTATGCCATGTATGTCCGATAGCGGTCCCAATATCAGCCCCTGAGTGCATATCTGTAGCCCTCTGGGGCTTGTAACTCTCAGAAACTCAAAACTCAAAAAAAAAAAAAAAAAGCTGTAGGCGTCGGTCCATGAACTCCGGGACGCGCTCTGCGAAGCCCCGCTCCTGGAATGGACCGGGTTCTTGTTAAGGGATTTGATGGAAGTTACCACAATAGGGATCTATGGTGAATATTAAGGTTTGCGTATTATGGTAGCATAAATGGGAGTTTCCGAAATGAAGGGACCCTAGGATAGTAATCTAAATAGTCGGATCCTGATTATAAGGACCCCAAATTTTCGGAAACTCCCAAATAAAGTCCCTTAACAAGAACCAAAAGTGGAGGGTGGGGGAGCTTCCAGGGTGTGCAGGTGGAGCCTACTACAGGGAACTCCAGAAAGTTGGAATATGGTTTCATGGTAGGATACACGATAATTTACTATAGAAGGGTTAGGATAATCATATTCCAACTTTCTGGCTTTTAAAATTACCTTAAGGCACACCGGAATGTCCGTTAAAGGGTACAAGTATTAGGGTTCTAGAATGGTGCAAGCCTTCATCAACTTCGCGCGGTTCCGTCAACCAAGATTCTCTCAACCCCGCTTCCTTCAACCATGTTCCCCGCTTCCCTCAACTCAGATTGTGCGTTTCTTTCAACCCCCATCCCCCGCTTCCCTCAACCCGGATATTGCCGATTCTGTCAACCCCCATCGCCCGATTCCGTCAACGCATACTGTGCTGATTCCGTCAACTCCGCCCCCCCGTCTGCATGTTGGGGGTTGAGTGAATCTGCGTGCTGGGGTTGAAAGAATCAGGTTGTGGATGGGTTGAACGAAGCAGTTCTTTGGGTTGAAGGAATCATTTCCTTGGACATGGTTGAATGAATCTGCGTTCTGAGGTTGAAGGAAGCAGGTTTTGAGGTTGAAGGCATCCGCGTTTCCGGGTTGACAGAATCCGCGGTCAGTGGTTGACGGAAGAATCGGCGAAAAGTTGAAGGAATCCGCGCGCGACCGTTCTAGAATATAGGGTCCCCTTTAAAAGGGTACTGTCGGGTTCTATAAAGGGGTCCCCTTTAAAGGAGTCTCAGAATTTAGGGGCTAATCTCGAAACCACAAAGGGTCCGTTGAAGCAAGGGTTTTGGGCCTGGGCTTTTCGGCTTCAGGGCCTCAGTGATTCAGGCTCAATCTGGTTTAGGCAAGGCATGCTCTCTACAGCAAATCCTCCGTGAGGAACCTCGTGCCCAAACCATTTAGAGGCCTCATAGTCTAAGGCTCTCAGGGCTTCTGGCATCCTTGAGCACGAAACCCATGCGACATAGAAGTGTTGGGCCCTGTCGTAATGCTAGTAAGGGTAAACCAGCAACGAATCTAAAGCTTCTTTGATTCAACCCTAAACACTAAAGGTCCTAAACACTAGAACCCCCAGAACAAGGCTAAAGCGCAAAATCCCCTAAACCCTACGCCTAAACTACCCTGACACCCCCAAAAGCCTACACAACAGAACACTAGCCCGACAACCCAAGACCCCAAATCCTCACCACATAGGTGGTTGTCAAAATTATGGCCTCTTGTTGGATACCCTGAATATTAGGTGCAGTACTATAAACTCTAAACCCTAAACCCCTAAACCCTAAACCCTAAACCCTAAAAAAAAGACCCCAAAGTGGACCCTACTATTGAACAACCAATTGCGTGAAGTCTTTCCTTTGGATCGGATTGGTGGGTCGCCTGGATGTACTCCCTTCTATCCGATTCTATCCATAAGCCGCAAAGCCTCCATCGAACCCGGTCGTACTGCTGGCATGAACCCCTGCTTCCCGCAACGCCTCTTCTGCGGTTGATTTAATGTACGAGTACTTGAATCCGGTTGCACAAGGTGTTATATGTGTCTTCTGAGGTTGCAAATCGGGGCCTTGATAATTAGAAGGGGGCTTTGAGGGCCAACTCTGCAACACCTATACTATATGACTATAAAGCCATGCTGGTATAAAGATCTTCCCTGCAAAAGCCCTATAAGCCCTACAAGCCGTCTGCCGTTCCTTGGCAATGGTGGCCAATGTCACCCATTCCACACCCAGGGATGAAGCGGAGATCTCCGAGCAGGCTGGATTAAGCAAAAGGGTTAGGTTTTTTTGTTAGAGGTTGAGGGTTTCGGTTAGAACTCTGGCTGGCTTTAAGATTTTGGCTAGCGTTTTTGTTAGAGGTTGAGGGTTTCGGTTAGAACTCTGGCTGGCTTTAAGATTATGGCTAGGGTTTTTGTTAGAGGATGGGGGTTTCTTTTAGAACTCTGGCTGGCTTTAAGATTATGGCTAGGGTTTTTGTTAGAGGTTGAGGGTTTAGGTTAGAACTCTGGCTGGCTTTAACATTATGGCTAGTTTTTGTTAGAGGTTGAGGGTTCAGGTTAGAACTCTGGCTGGCTTTAAGATTATGGCTAGGGTTTTTGTTAGAGGTTGGGGTTTCGGTTAGAACTCAGGCTGGCTTTAAGTTTATAGTTAGGGTTTTTTGTTAGAGGTTAAAGGTTTAGGTGAGAACTCTGAGTAAGGCTCGGGCAGAGGGGTCACACTAGCAATGCCTCGGTACTGCAGGGGCCTGAAAATCAATCAGGGCTTATGGGTATATCACAAGTTCGACAAGGCTACAAGGGGGGTTTCCTTTCTCATCCTAGACCCCGAGGGTAGTATTTTTTCCCTCCTACCTAGCAAGGACGAAGCCCGCATTGCAGGGAGTCTTGGATGAACTGCTGGCCTCGGGGTAGTATTTGGGAGTTTGGGTTTAGGCCTGAGCTACAAGCAAAATTATACGGTCTGAGGCTTTTGGCTCCTCCGGCTCAGGGCTTGGATTCGCTTCGGGTTTAGAGCTTGGGCCTGACTTTCGAGATCAGTTTTTTTGTCGGTAGCTTTGAGAAATTTGGGTTTTTCGTCTGCATGGAGCTGTTACCTGCGATCTTTCTGCTTGTGGAAGTACAAAGTTGTATGTCTGTACGGCTACTCCGACGGAGATCCCTCCTGCGAAGTTGTCGATTAAACTCATGCTCAGTGCACTCCGGAATGGTAGCATCTATCTGCAATTAAATCTTTGCTTCAGTTCAAGCACTTAGCTTCCGTGGTGTGTTCTGGCATGCATGTGACGAAGTCCATGTCCATGCAGGAGCAGGCTAGCTTTCAAAGTAGAGTGACGCTTGCAAGTGCTTGGGTTGCAATCTTTGGGGACTGACTCTCTCTCTCTCTCTCTCTCTTCTTCCGCAGGGCTTGGAGGGCGTGTCAAGCCCCCCGGCCGCATGGGCCCCCCATGTGTTGTGGGGCTTGTGGAGAGATGTGACAAGATAGCGAGTCCCCCAGAAATGCAAGGAACGTATATTGGACTCTAAATTTTTCTGGGTTTCTCAGCTATTTTGTGCGACACATGCAGACTCAATTACAGTACGATATGTCCCCCGGCTGCACTGTCAACCCCAACAAGTCAACAAACAAAAACACTAGAGTACCACCTTCATGAAGACATGGCTGGGGACATTGATTTAACCGCTCCACGGGCACAAGGTTAGTTTCTACTTACATCTCTCTCTCTCTCTCTCTCTCTCTCTCTCTCTCTTTGCATGAATGAAGAGGCTTTGGGGATTAGGATGTAGGGTCCCTGTACGGTTTTAGGTGCAGGGCTGCCTCTTCAGGGATTTGGATCTTCGGCGTAGGTCAGGCTTTGGGTGTCGCACTTTTGAAATCTATCTCCGGGCTTTCTGGCCTGCAGGAAACGCTGCAGAATCCGCAAGAAGCCATTGCCCTGTCCCGGACGAAGGGACGGGCGTAGAGTGTGTAGTTGAGGTTTCATAAGGTCAAGGTTTTTTTTTGGCTTAGGGTTCAGGGGTGACATCTATCTACACTACAACCACGGAACAAGACTGTAGATGCCTTTCTGTGCCAGGGTCGTGTTAACTTCTCCCTGAAAACTTGGCGGGCTTCCGCAGGCTTTCCTAGAGCCCCCAGAAGCGACACTGAAGTACTTCGTAGTAGAAAAGTGCCCCCCAACATACCCAAGGCCAAGTCGAAAACCGAGTAAGTACTTTCAAAGGCGGATGCGGAGCCCCATGAGGTTTCGGGTCTCGGGTCGGCTTCAGGTTGGCCCAACACAACGGCTCGCGCTCGCTTGAATGCAGTGAGCAAGCTCGAAGGAGTTTCGATAGCTGAGAGTACCCTGTACATCGGAAGCACACTTGACTCGCGGCAGTTCCCACCCTGACCTCACCTGAGGGCTTCTGTGAAGTGGGCCTTCCTATAATTATAATCACACCTCAAAATCTACTCTCGTAAAATTTCTATTGAGCCCGGTGCACACTCGAAACCCTGATATCAATCCACATGAAGAAGCTGCCCACCCTAAACCCTACGCTTCGTACCCAGGACGTGTCGGGCTTCTACAATAAGAACATCAATAGCTGCAATACGACTATCATAAAGGACAAGATCATGACGACCAACATAATATACCAAACTCATAAACCATAACCAGAACCATACTAGCAAAAATCATCAACAGCGAACAACAGCAGCAGATATGGCAATTCGATTAGTTGACCATAAAAAAGAAGTATAATAATAA